GAGTGGCCATTAGACCAATACTAATCTCTACATACTATGGAAGCAAAAGGGTAAATTGGTTATCCAACTCATGTACTAGCTATTTGCTTCTAGTACCTGGCCTTTGTGCGGGATTATTTGATATATGGCGGTCTGGGTAATCGGTGAACTCCCCCTTATGCATCCCCCCCTCCCCACCCAAAAATAAAAATAAATAAAAATAAAAATAAGAACGAAAGTCTCCCGAAAAGATGTCATATTCCATGGAAAATAGTGATCTTCATATCTCTCTATGGCTACGAATTATAGGACCTTTTGGGATTCTCAGGTTGAGATACCCAGTTTCCTCACTAAGCTTAAGTCTACAATCATCTCCTGGGTGAAGGCGGTAAATAACGTTTTATTTCTCGCAGAAACTCATACTTGTAAATCAATTTTGTTGACAACAAAGTAAATTATATTGCCGACCATCCAAAATACAAAAGCAACCCAATAAGGTGAACAAACTTGGGTTCATGTTTCTTTCCATGATACAGTCCCTGATGTGGATGATAGCCTTCTGGTGATGGAACCATTAGTCCTAATGTGGACATTCGTGAAGACAAGTACCTACATGTGAAGACTTTTTTTATGAAGTGAGCTATATGATAATGACCCCAGGGATTACTAGAGAGGGAACAGCTTGTCTGATTCATGACAAGTCATGCGGCAAAATTAGTAAGCTGAAAATGACCATGCAACTCATGGATAAGTGTTAGGACAAATGTATAGTGCCATCAGTCATGTAAGGAAAGCGAGGGTTGGGGTTGGGGTCGTGGTGGTAGCACCATTTGTGCCCCAGTTAAGCTTTAGTCTTTTGTTTTCACCCAACGCATTTAAAAACCATTAACGATTTAAAAAGCGGGTAGGGGCTCGTCATCCCCATTGAAGTACCAAAAATAAAAGCGAGGGATGGGTTTGTAGTGGTAGCACCCTTACATCTTAGTCATCATGTTACGGTTTCCATTTCCACTGACACCACGTCACTAATACTTAAAAAAAAACTAACTCCTAAACTATTTGAAAAAATAGGTAGGGGCCTGTCTTTCTCACTGAATTATACAACAAAAGAAAAAAATAAAAATAGAAAAAAGCAAGGGCTGGGTTTGTAGTGGTAGCACCCCCACATTTTAGTCATTATGTTGTGATTTTCATTTTCACTAACACCACACCACTAATACTTTAAAAAAAAAAAACTAATACTTTAAAAAAAAAAAACTAACTCCTAAAATATTTGAAAAAATAAGTAGGGCCCTGTCTTTCTCATTGAATTAAAAAAAAAAAATTAAAAAAAATTAAAAAAAAGAAAAAAAAAGAAAAGAAAGAGAAGGAGGAAGAAGAAGAGAGAGGTATTACATTGCCCAGCTTTGCCCCATTTTCAAGGGGGACCAATGTAGATGTCAAACATAAGAGAGAAATAGAGGAGCATGGGAGCATGCGTTCCATCACACAAGCAATGTTGTAAATATGCGAGTGGGGATATTTTCTACGCACGTAAGGTTGAAAATGAAATGATAGAAGATGTTGTTCATCTAAATTGGTTTATCTAAAATTGTGACCCTCTAAACAGATACCATACTCTGAATTGCGGCGTAACATACGCGTGTGTGATTTCTATCGTGTTATGATTATGGTCATATTTCCGTAGTTCATTTGGTCCATTTTTGGCATGGATTAGTATATGGAAAAAATTTAAATAGGGATGCAACCTTAAAATTTAGAATTAAGGATGTGCCTCAAAAATCCATCATAAAAGGTTGTTTGGATGTTGGAAGTCCCTCTAATTGATAATCCCGACATCGAGATGTATGAATATGAAAAGAAAAAATATTTTGAATGTGTGAAATAGTATATCTCGCAACGCGTTATCTGGACCATCCATTTTCAAGATTTTCATGTGTTTATTGATCTACTTAATTTAAACCATTTTTATAGTATAAAATTTTATAATTAGAGATGAAAATAGATTCCCAGGCCATCCTAATAATTTCTAATATCAAATTTATATTTATGATAAAATTTAGAGGTGTGCCTTAATTGGATTGTTTAAAGTTGCAATCATATGCAAAATACACCTTTTTTTTTTTGTTTCTTTATTTTGTTTCTTTCAAGTATAGGAGAGGAAAGAGATCAAACTTTAAGTTCTTGGTTGAAAAAAAGTAACCAAGAGAGACCCTTCATTCGATATAATTTCATTAACCTATATTATAGAGTGAGGTTTGTATAAAGTATCAACCTTAAACAATAATTATGATGCACTTCAAAACTGATGCAATCCTTTTGCATCAAAAATATACTAACAAATAAAGTTTCATTACTAGAAAGACTTGTAAAAGTATCAAAATCTATCGTCAACACTAATTATAAAATGGAATTGTCTATAAATAGATTATTTATCCTTTGTACATGGATGTCACAATCATTCTCACTCATTAGATGTCAAATTGGATGGCTTGAGAAGAGTCATGAAGTCCATAAGTATTTTTTTAGAACTGTGTGTCATTCAATAGCATTATTATAACCACCTATTTTGAAATTTAAGGGACAAGAATAATTGTGACTTGCATGTACAAAAGATAAATGGTCTCTTTGTTGACAATTCCAAATGAAATTTATACCTCCAAAATAATGTAGATCAAATAGATTTATGAACAATTAAAAATGAACGGTCAAGACAATACGTTACAAAATGTATAGTTTTTATGACTTAAAATTCTAACTTTTCTTATTTCAAATATGTACATAACTAGAGGTTGAGAGAAAGAGTTTAAGGGTCTTGTAGTATTTGAACAACCTTTTCTAATGGATATTTGAGATGTGCCTTACTTCAATAATTAAGGTTGACACATTTTGTAAGTCTTTCCCTATATCGTAACCTTGACCTTCCTACATAATTTAAAAATCTTTGGTCGAAACTTCCGGCTTTGAAAAAGTGCGTTTCCTCATTGAAAACCCCAAGTTTCCTCGACATTTTCGTATAGAGTAGTTGTCGACATCTTAACAATATAGAATCACTATAAATTATTTTTTTTTAACAAGCAGATTTTTTTATTCCCATGGATGGGAGCTTTCATCTCACCTATTAAAAAGAATGCCCGTCTAGCAAATTAAGGGAAATTTCGGAGAGTACGAATGTCAGCGTTCTCATATCTACACGGACGCATCGCCAATCTGATTGGTCACGCTCAAAAGAAAGGAACCCGCTTCACGTGTCAACTACCAAAGTTAAGATTCTCTCTCTCTTCCCTCCCTCACTAAATTCGAGATTCTCTCTCTCTAATACGACTGCCTTCGTTCCCCTCCCTCAATCCTCAGTCTCAATTCTACCTCCCTCCCTACCCGTATCTCATCCCTTGTCGAGGGCCCACATTAGGCCCGACCAGCCTTGCCCTAGCTGGAGCGGCTATGCCTAGGCTTCGCTGGCTCAATCAAGCCACCCCCATCAACAAAGACTTTTCAGCAATGTTATCAAATTCGTTTCGTCCGATAGACCAAAGCTTTCACGCATAAATCCAAGCCACTCGAAGCCGTTTTGGTTAGATTGGGGCCGCTTCAAGTTGCACCAATAGGCCGGACCGGCCTCTCCCTAGCTGGAACGGCTATAGTTAGGTCAGCCCTATAGATTTGACGAGCCCCATCTTACAAAGAGTTTTTAACAGTGTTATCAAATTCGTTTCGTTTCGGTGGCATCAACTTAGTTTCGTTTCGACAGAAGAGGCAAACCTTTTAGGTTTTAGGCATAAACCGAAACAAAGCGAAGCCTGTGCTGCCGCTTCGGTCAAATTCAAGTTCGTTTCGAATCTTTTTGGGCTAGCAAAGAAATAACTTTATAAAAATATTTTTTATTTTTTATTATTTATATATATTGTATAAAAATATTTAATTTATTTATATTAAATAAAAAAAAAAATCTACAATTTTTCCCTAAATCAACCAAAGCACTGAATTGCTTCATTTTTTTCACAAAATTGAAAAAAACTCCAAAACAAATATGACAACGTTGGTTTTTGGGGCCAGGCTAGTCGAATCAAGATGACGCATCATTATAGAGTTTCTAGGGACGGGCCGGCGGGTCGGCCCATTGCCAGCCATATCTGTAACTTAGCTATGATTCCACTGTCTGGATTCCTTTTCTTTATCAGAACACTCAGTGCGCTACCCAACTGATTGACGCATTCTTGGTGAATCGACTCTCCTCTCAATTGATTTTTTCTCTCTCTACTCTCTCTTTCTCTCTCCTCTCAATTGATTTTTTCTCTCTCTACGACTGCAGCTTAGATTTTTGTTTTTGGAAAGCTTTGTATGCTCTCCCTCCACCGTAAAGTTTTTGGTGCCCTTTTATCTAACTGTTTATTTTTTAATGGAGGGTTAAGATTGTTTCAATCACAATGTGTCACATCTTTATACTGTTTTATTTTATTTTTATTTTTATAAACGGTTTTGAGACCGAATTTTGGACATCCATTCTTATATTAAACTCGCACTAAGGAAAAATATAAAAAAAATATTTTAAATAAAATAAAATGACCAAAATATTTTTAAAAGTGTCGAAAAGTATTTTGATCATTATTTTTTATCAAAAAATTATTGTTAATATTTTTTATACATGCGTACCAATGAAAAAATGATACGTACAAATTTCATATAAAAAAAATTGTATTAAAAAAATTAAAAATAAAATACTTTTGAGACGTAAAATCTAAGATCAAACGGATAAAAAATAAACAGATCGACAGAGACATCATAAAACTTCTAAGTTGTAGGGGAACATAGAAAGCTTTCCCTTCTTCTCTTTGTTCACCATCTTCTCCTGCAATTTGCACATTATATAATAAAGAAACAATATAATAAAGAAATGGCACGAAAATCATTTATAGCTTGCAAAACTAGTATCAGCCCGTGCCCCAAACAACTGCTTCTCTTTCCTGCACCTCCAAATTTCTCTCTCTCTCTCTCTCTAACTTGGCATGAGCACGACCAAGAGAAGGCAATGAAAACCATTTATTTCCTCGAAGACTGATATCAGGGCAAAAACAAAAAACAAATTTAACCTGTTCCTTTCCCAACTATACACTGATCCGGACATGAATTCAGGCAAGAGACATGAAAAAAGGGCGAGAAAAAAGAATGGGGTTTTAATGGAAGCTACTAGTGCAGTGATCGGTCCATGGCCAAAACGCAGAGCTCTCATCAATGGGGCAAAACATGTTTAGGAAGGGCTCTTCCTGAGCCCCTGATGAGCCCTCATCCATGGAGCCGTTGCCGCTGTTTCCAACGAGTTTTGGGCACTGGAGCTCGAGTCTAGAGGAGCCATGAAGAAGATGGGAGGTAACATTTGCAGGCCTCATGGAGTGAAAGAAGTTTCTCTGTGAATTTGGAGAGATAGGGGACTCAGTTGTGATCGGTTTTGAGATGTCGAGATTGAGATCGGAGCTATTCTCGCTCTTGATGCTGCACGAGCCCTCAGTGTTTTCCTTGTTGAGGTTGATGGGTTCGGATTCCTTGCTCTTCTTCAGTGCCAGGATCTGCAGGAGTAGATGTGGATGTTAGAGAGAGAGAGAGAGAGAGAGAGTGAGGAAAAGAGGGCTTGGGGCTGGGATCGTGGTGGTAGCATCCCCACACCTAGACACGAGATTGTGGTATCTATTCTTACCACCCACTAACATTTTAAAAAATCTAAATCTTAATCTACTTAATTAAATAAACGGATAGGGATCTTTCTTCCCCACTCAATTATCATAAATAAAAAAAAAAAAAAAAGAGGTTAGTCTTCGGGCCACATGAAATTCAGTTTCGTTGTTATGAAATTAGAAAATTGGGAAGAGAAAAGGGGTGGATAAGAAATTTCTTATTTCTGATTACTAATTATTGAAAGCCATTTAATTTCATATATATATATATATATATAAATTAAAAAAAATATCTCCATATTTTTTATCTTTAGGTTTCATATCCTTATAGACACAAAAGTTTAAAACATATCTCAGACCAAAACATCTTAAAGTTTTATAAATTCTAACCATTTAGTTTTAGTGACTTTAATACTAATTTTTTAACCCAAACAACTAGCAAAAAAAGCAGCCCATATTATACCTCCCTCTCTCTCTCTCTCTCTCTCTCTCTCTTCTTACTCTCACTACTACTTAATTAATTAACTTACTTACGTACGTACGTAGTAGTAGTAGTAACGTAACTACTACGTTACGTTCCGTCC